ACGGTGTTATATATACATCTATGTATTGCTATTTTTGAACTTACATTTTCTTCTTGCTCTATTATTAGAAGTTTTCTATTAATAATCAGATATCAATTAAGTGGTATAGATTTTTCACGGATAAAAAAAGAAAAATGTGGTTTAGATCCTACGGTACGTAATATCAGCTTCTTTTTACCCAAAAGTTCGGAAGCATTTCTTATATATGCCTCTAATAACATTATGTATTCAGGGAAGCATTATTCACTTATTTTTCTACTTTTATATCATCTAATGCAGGGCACAACTAAACTAATTGCAAGATTTCATTATCGTATTCAAGAACTTGTCTGTGTTTGAACACAGTTGAACTGTAGCATACTGTATACAACATCTTCTTCTTTTCTGAAATGAATATTAATTAAATTATATTCAAAAGAATAATTTGTGTTACTAAGAGAATAGGATAAGGTGCGCATATACACGATCTTAATTTATCAACACATTTAACTAATGTCTTGAAAACTCGTGTCTAAATAAGTGAACCAAGACAACGCATTATCACTATCCTTCTAGTTCTCCGAAACCGTGTCACAAGCTGCACCAATGTTGCAATGCATGTTAGGGGTTTTGAAGATCTAGGCTTGTTTTTGTATGTTAAAGTGTTTGGAGATCTACGTGCCAAATTTGTTTCTTATGTTGTGAGAGTTGAGTTTGCAAGGTCTACCACAAGGTCAACATATATATTAGGCTATTAGCAATGTCAACGACTAAGGTCGCGTTAGAACTTGATTAACGTAATTCCACCAAATTGAATTTTCTATTTTTGAATTTTACATTTTCCTGTCTTGCTCTACCATAGTATGGCCTCACGAGTCATGATGATTCTCTCGTCTCTTTAATTTGATTAAACTAAAGTAAAAACGTTTTTTTTTATTAAATAATAATTTTACATTMATTCAAAAAAAAAATTATATTTTTGAATTTACATTTTCTTGTCTTGCTCTTATTGGAGATAGGTTGGGAACAAGACGTGTAGCTTGCAAACCAAGTGTTTTAGGGCATCAAAGTCTGTCTAATGAAGTGAAGCTTAAAAGAAGAATATTCTAGATCTCTACATAGTCTACAAAAGCGTATTTAACTCTACAATACTTCTCAAAACCTTTGATTTCAACACTTCGGAGAGTGTTCCTTTCGGGATTGAAATAGTATACATAAAACGGTTCATTATTATATTTATATTCCATCGACAAAACAACTTCACCATTAGCAATCACTCCAACGATGATACTATTATAAAAATCAACCTCTTCATTCTCCCCAAAATAGACACTTTTACCACCACTCCAAGGATCAACCACTGTATTCCCAAAACTGTAGACACGTTTTGACCATTCTTGTTTTTTCACATCCTGAAGAACACACAAACACAACTCAAAGGTAGTAGGAGTATCATTCCAGTAAATCCCACCTAATCTACCTTTATAGTTTATTAATTTAAGTTCATATTCTATAATATTTGATATGGTATTAGAGAAGTCGATTTTGGTTCTTTAAAATTCCGCATTAAATGTTGGTTTGTGATCATGGTGATCATGGAAGGAGACAATGTAGAAGACGGTGGAGATGGAGATGAACCGCCTGATGGAGATGATGAATACGTGAATCACAAGAAAAGTTGTTACGTGATGTGTTTTAAGATTTAACTAAATCTATTAGAAGTTTTTAAGGTTTTCTAAACAGTGAATTTTATTTCTTATCTAAATTATACGTTTTCTTTTGGATACGTGGAGCTTTGGTTATGGTTAAGTTTTTCTCCTACGTACCTTTAGTTGTTTTACATTATTTGGGGGTTTGGTTATTGGTGCTGCAAGAGTTATCGAGTGTTTGTTTTGAATTATTTCTAAGGGTTCTGGTTTTCACAGGTTCATGGGTTTACATTGTTTCTGAGATTTATATATAGTTTCAGAAATTCTCAGAGTTTTTGTTTCTCCTATTACGGGGGAGTTTGATTGTGGTTTTAGGAAGTTCTAGTTAGAACGTTTATGTTCTTTAGGTAAAAAAAAAATTGAAATCCGATTTATGGACTGTCCGAGTCAAGGACAATTATTTGTGGAGTTGCAAGTTGCACCCATGGGATGTTTTCCCTTTTTTTATCAAGACCAAAGACGAGCTGAAGTTTCATCCCTATTTTGAAGATTGAAGTTTACATCCGGATGAGTCTGTTGACTTGTTTTATCCGTCCTCGACAAGTTGTCCACGACATACATGTTTCGCTTGATGATTTCGCGTACCACGTTTGTCGTGCAGGGGAGTATTGGAGATAGGTTGGGGAGCAAGATGTGTAGCTTGCAGACCAAATGTTTTAGGGCATCAAAGCCTGTCTAATGAACTGAAGCCTGTGAAGCCTAGAAGAAGAATATTCCTACATTATTTCTTGTACAAAATATTCCCATTATGTATTAGGAAAATTTACATTATATGGTGTTAGCAATATGTTAAGATAATCACTATATATATCTATCTTATGTTCTTGTATCAAGACAACTCAATAAGATATTATATTCCATGAAATTTAACATGGTATCAGAACAGGTTGATTAGCCCAGTTTATTAACCCAAATAGGGTTTATTGTCCTAGAG